CGTCACAACATTTTGCCTCTGCTTTTAGTGCTCCTGGTGAGCCTCGCATAAGAGCTTACTGGTGTGCAAACATCAAGCTTGTTTGAAACCACTCACTGATGTACACTCGCTGACATCCAGCATTCCAATGAAACGCTGGATGTCCACAGGTCTTTCTTGAACAATGCAAGTGGGAAAGGAACCATACAATCGTATCGTATTGGGGGACATTCTAGAGAGTGTTTTTTTTTTGTATGTTTTACAGATTTGTTTTAAAAAAGCCGTAAAAACTACATTTATGCGGTCTGCGCACGTGAGTTATATGGCCAGGGCGGCATAGTATAAAAGGCTAATTTGTAATGATCAGTCAGCTTATTACAGAGATGTGCCAGTCTTCTTTCAGAAAACTAGATGGAGGTTCATTCTAGCATAGTTTTATCTCGCGAATCTGAATATCCCGTTCGTTTTCCGCAAAGATATAACTAAACGTGAGAAAACAAAAAAACATCCTACCGATAGTGACATCGTAAGAAGACCTTTCGGCCGCCAAGCGCGTCGCTAAAGGGCCGCTCGTCCAATCTCAAGTTTTCTAGGTATATTCTCCCGCATTGGCACCAGTTGTGACACATTTTTCTGCCCTTTTAAAAATAGCACGTGCGTGCATAGCTTTCATAGGTGCTGAAGATGCTTGAGCAAACATTTCGAAAGCCACTTTTGTGACGGCGCTCTCCAGGGAAGTGCTTTCACAGCACTTTAAAAATGACTGTATGCAGCCTCGATTCATAAAATTACCAAATAATTTTGATATTTGAGATTCTGGAGGTCATATGAAGAAGATAAAAGTGTTTTCTCAAATACAAAACCGCTTCAGCCTCTCTCTAAGTATAGTATGTTCCTGAAATTTTTAATCAGTGAAAATAGACCCATGGTTCCAATTAGAAACTTGCTAAGCATCATCAAAACACACTAAATCAACTTTCTTTGTAAAGATATAAAACAAGAGCAGCATTTTATGGCGTTCTAAGAAAATGGTCAATTTGGACGCGTTTCCAGACTTTGGTTTCTTACCAGAGCGCATCTTTGCACCTGCGGTCCTGCTGCCCGGTGGCCGGAGTGCGAAGCCGCCCCCTCGCCTCCCTCGTAGGATGGAGGGAAGCAAGGCACACGTGCGTTGCGTGTCTAAGGGGGAAGAGGACCTTGGGCGCAGAGATGAGCTCTGATAAGAAACTGAAACCTAGAAACTCGTCCAAATAAAGCGTTTTTACAAAACGCGTAAAAGGCTACCCCTGCATTATATCCTTCTAAAAAGAGTTGATTTTGTGGTTTTCAATGACTCAACAAGTTTCTAATTGAAACCATATTTTCATTTTCACTAATTAAAAAGTTGATTAACAATTGTAAACATAGAAATTAACAATTAACAAATTTTATTTAATTATCTGACTGATTGTTACGATTAGGTCCCTATACTATGTACGCCTGGCCGTATAACTCGCCTGCACAAACCGCATTAATTTAGCTTTTACGACCTTTCTAAACATATATGTAAAGCTTAAAACTAAATCGCCCGTACAGCAGTGAAAAGGCAAAACCAGCATGTTGGAGCCATATGGCTCCACCGTGCTGGTATCGCCTTTTCGCTGGTATAGGTTGTCCCATATTACGTTATGCATGTATGGTTCCACATGGTTCCGCCATATTCCACTACGCTGGTATAGGATGTCCCATAATACGACACGCTTGTATGGTTCCGCCTACCTGTATCGTTCCGCTTTAATCCACTATACTCCATCCGCCGATTCGCTTGTATAAAATGTCCCATATTACGGTGACGCTTGTATGAGCCTTTTCCGTCATCTTTCCATCATCAAAATTTTCCAAAAGGGTAATATTGTTTTATTTACTGGGAAGTTTGATATGATGTGAAAAAGCGCAAATGGTTAGGAAGAGAAGGGGACAGGATACAGCGCTTTTTTCACATCATGTTTAACCAACTAATGCACCAGTTATTTTTAATTTTATTACTGCAAAGGCCAAACAAGAACACCTTTGTGCAGCAACTTCTTCCTGGGTATGTACAGAGTGTATGCACAAGTAACAATGTTAGAAGCATCAGTTTATACAGTATTGTAGCCTATAATCCAGGCTCAGCCGACATGCACAAATTTAACAATCTAAGCATGCTCACCAAGCAGGAACCTGCCATCGTCGATGAGCCGGCCTTGGTCGAAGTTGTCGCGGAGCCAGGAGAAGCGCCAGGCAAAGGAGTCGTGCACCGACCCTGGGTAGCATGGGTCGATGCACATTACCCGGCAGCGGGCGTCACACACCTGTTGTAGAGATAGGATATATGCGCTCAGTAGTTTCCCCGAATGATCAAGCAAAGCACACTGTAAGACAACGCCAATTCCAGCCTTAAGCACCATTTGCAAACTAATAAGCACAAAAAGAAGAAATCCACGACTAACGTGATTGTAGGACACATTGCGCCATACATGACCAGGCACTGTCAGTTTGGATACACAAAATGAGCCACGCTCTAGCTGTGTAAAGTATGTATGTACGTACAATCGCGAACAGTATGAGCTGAAACAGCACTCCGGCCGCCACACGGTACTACCTGCGCCGCCTATCGCATCGCTCCGCAAACACGGCGCAGCCTGGGGCCGAGTGTGCGTTCCAATGCGACAGGCGGCGCAGGTAGTACCGTGCGGCGTCCGGACCGCTGTTTCAGCTTATATTGTACAACATGGAAGAAGAGAGAAAAACAAAGGGGGGTTGGGGGTTGGGTCCGGTCCAGTGTCGAGCTCGCTTCCTCCCAGTCATCCCCCCCATGAAGCCTACGTTTATATAGTTGAAAAAAAAATTAAAAAAATGAGCAGCTCTCTATGCCTACCCTGCATCCGCATCGTCATACAATATAAGTTTCGTTCAGAGGTTACTTACCACCATCACGTTAAGGGCGTAGTACTGCTTCCTGCACCAATACGCAGCCTTCGTGACGGTGGGGTCGTACTTGGACGGGCCGACGATGCTGATCATCGTCCCGTCGATGCACCCGATGACGCCCGGAATCCTGCCGAGTAGTTGGAAGCCCCTCTCGAAGTCGTCCCTCTCGCTTGCCGTCTGGGGAAAGTGGATCCAGCCATGTTGGATCCCCAGACGGCGCACAATAGCGACGGACACGGCCCGCAAGGCGATGCTGACCGTGCCTTGGTCCCGTGCTATGTGCTCGTCGCTCGCCACCGTGCCTTGGAAGCTCCCCGTAGCGTAAAACCGAAGGGCGCACAGCACTTGGTCCTCCACAGTCATGACAGTACTTGACCGACGCAGTCTCTGCAGCTCCGGCTCCTCGCGGAGTTCGTCGCACAGCCACCGCACTAAAGTCTTCGCCAGGCGGTACTGCTTCCGAAATACGTGCTCCGGGAGTTCAAAAGCATCCCGATGGCTCCGGTTGCGCCTGTCCACCGGATATAACAACTGAAATATCGGGGTGCAGTCCATCGTTCGACGGGACGGCGCGGACGCGTTGCACCCCATCTTGCTTCGTTCTTTCGAAGCGACGTAACAGCAAAGTATTCATATGTCATTTTGACGTCACGTCCGTTAATGGTAGAGCTTCCGGTTTACCGATTTCCGCTCACTTTTGCTTTGTTTTCTTCTGCAAATACCGTCATCAGCGATTCCACCAATCGACATCCAAAGAGAGTTGTTGACGTCACTTCCCTCTCCCTAGTCTCCTGGGAGTGCAAAAAGCGCAACATAGCCCTCCTGGCGTCCCATTTTTTCCTCTAGCGCCACCTATGAATGTCAAATGAAACTTTTCCTTAGTTCTCTTTTCTTTCACGAGAGGGCCGAAGGTTGAAAACATGTGCTTGCTTTGGCCATCGGTTTTCGAAACACGGATCCGCAGGGGCTCATTTTTCAGAAGACACTACTTGGTCCCAAAATGTCAAGTAAGTGGCCCTGTACGTTCTACGTCTTCCTAAGCATGTAAGGAGTAGGTGAGGGAAGTATTAGCCCGTTTTAGGTGGCACATGGGTTTATATTGTTGATGATGTACAAGCAGGTGTGAATTCGTTAGGCTTAGCAACACAGCCAATGTTCTTAGGGGGTTCGTCGTTCTTGCTGTTGCGATTTTTTGTTTTCAAAAGCTGCCATAGCTTTTATTTAATGTCAGAAAATATATTAGTGCTTTCCCTTTCCAGGAAAAAGAAAACTCACTGACGAGGAGGCTTTAGAACTGTTCTTTAGCCTTCCGGAGGACTCGGCGAGTGACGCGTGCGGCGACTCGGATGACGATTTTCAAATGCCCTCAACATCAGCTTTGGCTCCAGCAGAGGCATCAGAGAGCGATGATACGAACAAACAAGCACCGAAGAGGCCAAAAAAGACGTACAAGCGAAAAAGACGTAGCAAGAAGACGCCTGTCCAGCCTGAAGCAGATGCTAGTCAGAACGGCGAAGTGAATGGGATACCATCACCGTCCATGGACTGGATAGCTGGAAAACCTCAAGACATTCCTGAAAAGGTCACTGAAAAACCTCCAACATGCTCTCCTAACCTAAGCACAGACAGCAGCGCATTTGACGCGTTTACTCTTTATTTTGATGAAGAAGTCTGGACAATCATTGTCACAGAGACAAACCGGTACGCAGATCAGGTAGGAAAAGCGAACTGGGAGCCACTCTCAGTGAGTGAGCTCAAAGCCTACATAGGCATGCTCATTCTTATGAGTATTCATCCCTTGCCCCAAGTTTACCTGTACTGGAGCTCAGATCAGCTCTTCAATGTGAAGGAAATCTCTCGAGTGATGACCTTCAAGCGGTATCAACAAATCACAAGCTGTTTACACCTGAATGACAACACGCAGCAACAAGAGCGGACCTCGCCAGGATATGACAGGTGCTATAAAGTGCGACCTCTTATCGAAGCCCTCAACAAGAATTTCCGAAAAGAATACAGCCCGTCCTCTCATGTCGCGGTTGATGAGTCGATGATTCTATTCAAGGGTCGATCGGCAATGAAACAATACATGCCGATGAAACCGAAAATCAAGCGGGGGTACAAAGTCTGGAGCCTCGCCGACAGTGAGACTGGTTATCTCTGCCGATTCGAAGTATATCAAGGACGCAACGGAGAAAGGCCCACTGATCAGACTCTTGGGGAACACGTCGTCCTTTCGCTGACGGAGGATATAGTGGAGGAAGAATCCGAAGTTTTTTTTGACAATTTTTTTTCTTCAACCAAACAGCTCCTGCAACTTCGAGAACGAGGAGTGTTTGCCTGTGGCACATTCAGGACCAACAAACGAGACCTGCCCCCAGAAGTCAAAATTGACAACAAGCTTTCTCGTGGAGAGTACCTCTACCGATCAAAAGGGCCAGTGTCGGCTTACCAATGGCGAGACACAAAAAATGTTCACATGATGTCGAATTTTCATGACCCTGAAGAGCAAGCTTCGATGGAAAGGAAGCTTCCATGCGGAAAAAAAGTTCAAGTTACATGCCCGATGGCCGTCAAGGACTACAACCGCTGGATGGGGGGCGTAGACTGTTTCGACCAAAAGCGCAATGCCTATCCGGTTGATCGACGGTCTAAGAAGTGGTGGCATCGTATTTTTTACTTTCTTATCGATGCAGCAATCGTCAATGCCTTTGTGCAACACACGGCATATCACAGTGACGACGATGTGGCTTTGCTTCACTTCAAGGTGCTTCTCGGGCGACAACTGATCAAGAGACATACTTTTCGCACTGCTAGAAAGTCGCAAGTGCATTTCCAGAGAAAACAGGTACGCCGCCGTGGGTCTCTGATTACTGGAGTGCCGAGCGAAATTCGTCTTGAAGGAAGAGACCACTTTCCCCAAGAGAATGCAAAGAGGAGAATGTGTCGGTGGTGCTCCACGAAGAGCAAGGAAGCCCGCACAAGATATGTGTGCAGCAGCTGCGACGTTCCTTTGTGTGTTGGGTGCTTCTCCTCCTTTCACTTGTCCAAGTGAACGCAAATAGAGGGCACTTGCTATTTTTTGTCAATGTCACTCATGGGCAATGGGACATAGGCTGTCCCACTTCTGTTTGTGGTGCTTAGAGGGTAGTGGGACATATGTTGTCCCACCAACTGTGCCTCCAAATTTTGTTGCACAACTATGTAAATTAGTTTAAACATTCTCTTTCTTGTTTAATAAAGCATTTCTGATATAAAAATAAGTGAACTAATAAAAGTCTGCTCGCGCCTTATAAAGGGTTAATACTGCGCTAGAGGCAGTAGCGGTGCGTCACCTCCTTCACAAAGTAGTGACTGTTTGTTCCTTGTAGATTCCTCCTTCTTTTACTTTTTCGACAAATGATTTAAATAATCTTTTACTCCAACTCCCGGAGCCCTTTCTTTTACTTGGAGATTTTAATGCCCACAACTGTCTATGGGGTAGCGACCACGTTGACGCCCGTGGTCGAATGATTGAGTCAATTTTAATGCCGCATGCACTTTGCCTTTTTAACACTGCAGAACCGACCTATTTTAGCCCATCATCATTATCGTCCTCATGTATTGATCTTTCCATCGGTAGTGCATTCATTTTTACTGTTTTTACGTGGGCAGCAGGCACTAACCCATATGAAAGCGATCACTTTCCTATTTTTTAAAGAACACCATTCCTCCAAAGTGCATGCCAACGCGAACTGTCCGTTGGAAGCTTGAGAAAGCGAATTGGTCTCTTTTCACTGAAGCGACACAACTTGCATGCATGTCACTTGATGAACTTTCTGTCGACAAGTTACAGAGTTGCTAAGTAATTTTATTTTTCAAGCTGCAGAGCTTGCTATTCCTAGGACTTCTACGCATCTCCCGCGGCGACCCAAGCCGTGGTGGAATGAAGAGTGTACTGAGTCACGGAAAAAACAAAACAGAGCCTGGGGTATCTTTCGACGTTACCCCACGCAAAGCAACCTCCGCTGCTTTAAGCAAATGGAAGCTCAGGCGAGGTACATCCGACAACAGTCAAAGCGTAAAAACTTCCAGGGGTATGCCTCTTCCATTAATAGTAGTGCAACAGTCAAAGAAGTCTGGGACAAAGTTCATCGCATTGAAGGGAGATATCATGCCTTCTCAGTCCCACTCCTCTCCTACAATGGCATTTGTCTGGAAAGTCTAAAGGAACAAGCGGATCTTCTCGGTGAGCATTTTGCTCTTGTATCGAGCTCCGAACATTATTCATCTGCATTTCTCGCATACAAAGCACGTGCAGAATCACATGCTGCGAAGACTGCAGGTGCCGCCCATGAAGACTACAATCTACCTCTTACGATGCGTGAACTCGAAATAGTCCTTCACTTAACTAAGCCTTCAGCTGCAAGACCTGATGGCATACACTACCAGATGTTAACACACCTTCATCCTTCTACATTATTTCTTATTCTGTACCTTTTAAATCGCATATGGTACGAGGGCAAATTTCCTTCGGCATGGAAGGTAGCCACGGTTGTTCCTCTTTTAAAACCTGGTAAGGATCCTTCTTCTGCGTCAAGCTATCGCCCTATCGCCCTTACTAGCTGTTTGAGCAAGACTCTTGAGCGTATTGTGAACAAAAGACTTATGTACTATTTAAAAAAAGAGAACATCTTGGACAGGAATCAATGTGGGTTTCGTTCCTATCGTTTTACAGTTGACCATTTGGTTCGTCTTGAGACCGTAATTCGTGAAGCTTTCGTGAACAGACAGTTGCGCGTGTCAGTGTTTTTTGATATGGAGAAGGCATAGGACACAGCATGGCGCCATGGAATCCTCCGTGATTTGCATGAAGTTGGGGCACGAGGTAGAATGCTTGCTACCATCAATAGCTACCTTTCTAATAGAACCTTTTTGGTGAAGCTAGGAGCATCTTTCTCTAAAGAGTTCATCCAGGAGACTGGGGTCCCCCAAGGGGGAGTCCTCAGCGTTACTCTCTTTTTGGTAAAGATGAACTCAATAGCCCGTTCCCTACCTTCCTCAGTGCAATACACACTCTATGTTGATGACCTTCAAATCTCTGTTTCATCGTGTAATCTTTTTATTTGTGAACAGAGGCTTCAAGTTGCCATCAACAATCTCCTAAAGTGGGCGGATGAAAACGGCTTTAGTTTCTCTCCGGAAAAGACGGTTACTGTCTGTTACTCCCGTATACGGGGAGTCCCTGCGGTTCCTTCTCTATATATGCGACAGACCCCTATCCCGGTGAAAGTACATCACAAGTTTCTGGGCCTCACTTTCGACCGTAAGCTTTCGTTTGTGCCTCATATAAAAAGTCTGAAGTTAAAATGCCAGAAATCACTGAACCTCCTTAAAGTCTTGTCCCACAAAACATGGGGCTCTGACCGTCTATGTCTTTCGCGAATCTATAGCTCGGTAATCCGCTCACGCCTGGACTATGGCAGCTTTGTGTACGGATCTGCTAGGCCATCAGCTCTTAAGGCACTTGATCCCATCCATCATCAGGGACTTCGCTTGGCAGTAGGTGCCTTCAGAACGTCGCCTGCCGAGGCGAGAGCGCCGGCCTACGGATCCCCAGGTGGCGGGTTCAAATCCCGACCGAGGTGCCCGCAATCTGACGGAGGCTTATTGCGGAAAAGGCGCCGTCAAACCGAGCTTTCGGTCGCACGTCAAAAGATCCCCAGGTGGTCCAAATTAATCCTCAGTTCTCCGCTGGGGCGTGCCAGATGCCCTCGTAGGTTTGGCACGTAAAACCCCCAAATCAGACTTAGAACGTCGCCTGTGCTCAGTCTCTATGCTGAGGAAAATGAGATGTCCCTCGACAGACCGCGATTCTCCTTGGGATTTATGTATTCATTAAGGATACGATCAGTAGCTCAGCATCCAGCTCGGGAGGCAGTGGAGGGCACGAAATATCAAAGGACATTCGAAAACAAGCCTAGCATTATCCCTCCATTCGCAATGAGAAATAGGAATGTGACAGAGTCAGTTGGGATAGACAGTAAGCTTCCAGTTGCCACAGTTCCAAAGACGGTGGCACCATGGGATTTCAGCTGCATACGTTGCGATTTGTCACTAACAAAGTTTAATAAAAAGGATACCAAATCCGAGGTCATGCGACAAGAATTTTACGAACTCCAGAAGCAGCATGATTCTCATTCACACTATTACACAGACGGCACTAAAACGGAATCATTTGTTGGCTGTGCCATGATCGGCCCATCAGTAAGAAGTGTTCGTAGGCTAAATCCGTACGCGACAGTTTTCACTGCTGAACTGTGCGGCCTTTTGCTTGCAATAGATCACATCATCCAAACACGTAACTCCCGGTCAGTTGTATATACAGATTCGTTGAGTGCGTTACAGGCTCTGATTTCACTTGAAACCCCAAAGAATGCACTCATTGTTTTATTACAAAGCAAAATAGTAGCAGCGACCAGGAAGGGAAGTAATGTTCTATTCTGCTGGGTGCCGAGCCATGTCGGAATCCCAGGGAATGAAGAGGTAGATCGTGCTGCGGGCACGTGTGGCACTCGTACTGTGGACATTAGTGGTATCCCATTTAGAGATTACTGTGCCTTAGTGAAATGTCATCTTAAAGCTCAGTGGCAAACAGAATGGAGCCTACAGGTGTCCAACAAACTGCGCATGATTAAGCCTTTCCTTAGTGAATGGGAGAGTGCTAGGCACAGAGACAGGTTTTATGAGGTAGTCCTCTGTCGTCTACGCATTGGACACACGCGGCTGACGCATGGACACCTTTTGCGTGGGGAGGACCCTCCGGAATGTGAGCATTGCCAGCAACCTTTGAGTGTCTTGCATATGCTTCTCGAATGCCCTGCGCATGATGATAAACGGCACCATTTCTTCTCCCAGCTCTACAAAGAGCATATTCCTCTACACCTTTGTGTGTTGCTTGGAAATGAGTCACTACTCCCACCCACCCTGGTTTTTAAGTTCTTAAAAAGTATTGATCTTTTACACAAATTGTAGCATTTTGTATAATATAAGGTCCGAGTCCTATTTTATGCATTTTTGAAATTACCAGTTACTAAAGCTCTTTCTTCTTCAAAACCCTCTTCTGCAATAGTATCATTTCTTGGCGCATCATAGCCTTAGTTGCTTTTGGGCCACAAAACACCAATCTACTACTACTACTACTGCCTCCTAACGTGGCGTTACAATCGACACTGCTGCCGGGCTGCTCCTATTTGCCCCTAGGTGGCGCAAGTTGTACAGTGGCGTTCTGGGCGCCCGGTTCGCCGCCGCTCGCTTCGCCATCCTCCCCCCCCCCCTCCCACCTTCCCCGACCCCACCCCATTTCTCCTCTCCCTCTGGTTCGGTTTTTATTTCTCTTCCTCCAACACCTCGTGGCGCTTTTATTTCTCTGCGATTTCCTGCGCATCTCCCAAAACTTTTTTTTTAATCATTGTAGGGCAACTTCAGGGAAGCTGCTTTTCAGGTGGGTAGGAGGCAAGGATCACGCATTTACTTTTCATACATTTTATTATTTACACAAATTCCGTACATAAAATAGAAGATTAATAATACAATTTATGCGCTTCAGGAAACGATGAAATGGATAACACGTAAAACTGTAATATAGTGACCATTGTTGCATAATACAAAAATACCGTGGTTGCATGACCGGCAGGCGTGACCGGCGCGTGAACTCTGAGGTGCGCGAGCTGAGCCCGTGCTCCTGTGGTTCGATCATCGGCAACCAGCCATGGTAGTTGAAGAACGCCTGTCTCCATTAAAGATATACGTTGCCGTATGACTCTGCTTGCATAAGCTATAACAATTGGCGACGAAGCGGACGAAGACAACAGGCAAGCGTCCGTTGCCCGGACCCCGAGGATGGCTGTGGGCGGTATCAACGAGTATCGCCTCAGCACCGACGCTTCCTGGGACGAGTACGTAGGGCGACTCGAAATGTACTGCGTAGCCAACAGTTTGACAACGCCTGAGCAGAAGCGTGCCGTCCTGCCGAGTTGCTGCAGAGAAGAAAAATACTCCTTAATCGTAACCTTG